CCGATCCATCCTTTGTACCTCTATGGCCCCGTATCCCCCTTTTAAAGTGATACATCAAGTTTCTGGGCCTCCTTTGATCGTTTTTTATCCTGGAAAAACCCCACAAATTTCCTCTCTGAAAGGAAAAACTTGTTTACCAAACCCGGTGAACCTTCTTAAAAAAACCCCTTTCTCAACTTTATGGGGGCCCGATCGTCGAAACCCCCCCCTTTACCCCTTCCATCCTTATTTTATCGGGAAAATTGAATTTTTGGTGAAAAGATCGATTTTTGCGGCATCTCCTCTCTCCCTCTAGCCTTAACCAAACCCCTTCATCACCAAGGGTTACGTTTTATGCCCTTTGGGGCTTTTCGCTCTTCCCTGTTTTTGAGAGCCTCTTGCAGAAGCGAACGTTCCAAACCCTTTTTCCGATTTACCCTGATGCCCATTGCCTTTTGTACTATGTACCTCTCATGACTCCACAATCCTTCCTTTTATAGAAGGCACTGATATTAGTAACTTCTTTTTTTGTTCGCCCCCCTGTTTATCCGTCCCCTTTTCCTTTTTTGGGCCCTTTATTCGCTTTTTGTCTTCTTTTTCAATTTCCACCTTTCCATGTTCATTGGGAGCATCTCACTTTTTTCCCCACCCCCCCGGGAAATTCCACTGTTGAAATTTTTCTTTCCCCTTTTCTCTTTTCGAAAGCCCAAAAATGTCTACGGGCGTTCCCCCTTTCTTTTTCTTTACCACTTTCACTTTTCATTTCAATTTCCATTGCTGTGTACACAGATGGCTCTTAAATCTTTTGAGGGTAGGGTTCGCCCGCAGGGTTTCCCGGCAGCGTCATACGAGGGGATTTACTATCTTTGGCTAGTATTTTTACTGCTGAATTGTATGCCATCCTTGCAGCACTTATCCTATTGCATCTATGCCTGTGTCATCATTTGTGGTTGTCTCAGACTCCCTTAGTGCTTTACAGGCTATACAGAAATTTGATACACCTCACCCCTTAGTCCTCCGTATCCAACTTTGGCTACGCCGCATCTTTACCCAGCATAAAGATATTGTTGTTTGTTGGGTCCCTGGTCATGTTGACGTACAGGGCAATGAACAGGCAGACACTGCTGCGCGTCAGCAGTACATGACCTACCAGTTTTCATATAGAGGTATTCCATTTACGGACATTTTGCTGCAATATCTTCCCACCTTCACACCCGTTGGCAACACCGTTGGTCTACTATGCTCGGCAACAAACTTCAATCTATTAAACCAAGTATAGGTTACTGGCCGTCTTCTTATCACCAGTGTCGAGGTTGGGAGACTACTCTCTCCCGTCTTCGCATTGGCCATACTCGTCTTACTCATGGATATCTCATGGAGAGGCGCCCTGCTCCTCTCTGTGAGAATTGCCAAGCTCCATTATCATTCAGCCACATTCTGTTGGACTGCCCACTTTATCAACGAGCACGCAGAATTTACCTCCGTTGTCGTCTTCGCTCCGCTGCTGTCTATTTACCTTCCCTTCTCGCTGATGGATCCACCTTTCATCTGGACTCTCTCATTGACTTTTTGACAACAACTGACTTACTTCACAAATTCTGATACCTTCAGCCCTTTCTACTTCAATCTCTTGCTACCCTCTACCCCAGTACTATCCCCTGCCCCGCTGTTTTCTGTAACCTACTGATCATCCCTCCTCCCTTCTGCCATCCAATACCCTCACTTCCTTCCCTACCCTGCAGCGCTGTATAGCCCTTGTGGCTTAGCGCTTCTTTTTGATTATAATAATAATATGTGTATAATAATAAGTTTACTGAGTATATCGGGAAAAGTATACGGTAGGGTTATAATTGAAAGAATTAGAGGTAAGACAGAATGTAGGATTGCAGATGAGCAGGGAGACTTCAGAGTGGGTAGGGGATGTGTAGATCAAGTGTTTACATTGAAGCATATATTTGAACAGTATTTAGATAAAGGTAGGGAAGTTTTTATTGCATTTATGGATTTAGAAAAGGCATATGATAGAGTGGATAGGGAAGCAATGTGGCAGATGTTGCAAGTATATGGAATAGGTGGTAAGTTACTAAATGCTGTAAAGAGCTTTATGAGGATAGTGAGGCTCAGGTTAGGTGTGTAGAAGAGAGGAGAATACTTCCCGGTAAAAGTAGGTCTTAGACAGGGATGTGTAATGTCACCATGGTTGTTTAATATATTTATAGATGGGGTTGTAAAAGAAGTAAATGCTAGGATGTTCGGGAGAGGGGTTGGATTAAATTATGGGGAATCAAATCAAAATGGGAATTGACAGTTACTTTTTGCTGATGATACTGTGCTTATGGGAGATTCTAAAGAAAAATTGCAAAGGTTAGTGGGATGAGTTTGAGAATGTGTGCAAAGGTAGAAAGTTGAAAGTGAACATAGAAAAGAGTAAGGTGATGAGGGTATCAAATGATTTAGATAAAGAAAAATTGGATATCAAATTGGGGAGGAGGAGTATGGAAGAAGTGAATGTTTTCAGATACTTGGGAGTTGACGTGTCGGCGGATGGATTATGAAGGATGAGGTTAATCATAGAATTGATGAGGGAAAAAAGGTGAGTGGTGCGTTGAGGTATATGGGGAGTCAAAAAAACGTTATCTATGGAGACAAAGAAGGGAATGTATGAAATATAGTAGTACCAACACTCTTATATGGATGTGAAGCTTGGGTGGTAAATGCAGCAGCGAGGAGACGGTTGGAGGCAGTGGAGATGTCCTGTCTAAGGGCAATGTGTGGTGTAAATATATGCAGAAAATTCGGAGTGTGGAAATTAGGAGAAGGTGTGGAGTTAATAAAAGCATTAGTCAGAGGGCAGAAGAGGGTTTGTTGAGGTGGTTTGGTCATTTAGAGAGAATGGATCAAAGTAGAATGACATGGAAAGCATATAAATCTATAGGGAAGGAAAGAGGGGTAGGGGTCGTCCTCGAAAGGGTTGGAAAGAGGGGGTAAAGGAGGTTTTGTGGGCGAGGGGCTTGGACTTCCAGCAAGCGTGCATGAGCATGTTAGATAGGAGTGAATGGAGACGAATGATACTTGGGACCTGACGATCTTTTTGGAGTGTGAGCAGGGTAATATTTAGTGAAGGGATTCAGGGAAACCGGTTATTTTCATATAGTCGGACTTGAGTCCTGGAAATGGGAAGTACAATGCCTGCACTTTAAAGGAGGGGTTTGGGATATTGGCAGTTTGGAGGGATATGTTGTGTATCTTTATACGTATATGCTTCTAAACTGTTGTATTCTGAGCACCTCTGCAAAAGCAGTGATAATGTGTGAGTGTGGTGAAAGTGTTGAATGATGATGAAAGTATTTTCTTTTTGGGGATTTTTTCTTTTTTGGGTCACCCTGCCTCGGTGGGAGACGGCCGACTTGTTGAAAAAAAAAAAAAAATGTGTATAATATGTGCCCCTTACTAAGATATGGTTCCATTATTATGATAACCACCTGAGATTCCCAATAACTTCCTGGTATCTTTTAATGTTTTGCTTCCTGTGTACACAATCATATCCACTACGAGACTGGTCTCACTATCTCACAACACTAACAGCTTGATACCAGAGCATTTCATCTTGCTTGATATATATGTGTACTCCTTGAACAACAGTCTGCCTTTGAATAAGAATCATAACACATCAGTGACAAGGTTCTTGAGGGGATAAAAAATCCTTGATCTTGTATAACATGTTGTTCCTGTTAGGCCTCCCTCATCTTGACTGAGAAGTGTAGCATAGGTAGCAGCAGGATAAATCTGTTTACTGGGATGAGATCACTGAAGGCTGGGATATAAATTAGGCAGTCAATTGACCAGTATGATCGACTACTGTGTCTATACACATGGCATAAGCATTATCGTGGATAAGAAGAGACACGTCTCAACAACAGTTGGGTCCTTCCACAAGTATAGTTGTGATTGTGGTGAAATCAGCATATGTCATTGTATACTGGAAGTACCTGTTGGTTTCCCTCACTATAATGGGAGGCAAGGGTTCATCAAAATATGCATAGTTCAAAGAACTGAAGTTCACTGGTGTCATTCCCAAGAGTACAGTTGGGCAGGATTCTGTTGTGCTTATCAAATTGATGGGAATTGGGCACAAAATTTGTGCTTTCCTGTCAATTCCAGATGAGTTCTGGTGGTGGGTGCTGGATATTAGTGGCTAGTTGTGGTTGTGGTGGCTGTGTGGGGGTAGTGGTGGCGGCCATGGGTCTTTGGGGGTGTTGAGTATAGACCATGCCTCTCAGTCTGGGCTGGTGCTGGTGCCCTGCACCTTGTTGTGCCACCACGTACTACTGCATGTGATAGCACCATTGCCTGCAGCCTGTTAACCATCCCAGTAGATGTCCCTTCGTCGTTACTGTTACTGGTGTTCTGTCCAGGGATGTACTACCAGACTGCTGTATAAATTGATGCATCATAGGTGAATAATCATCACTAGAGTGGTCATCAATTGCTAGAAAATCAGAGTTTGTCACTATCATCATCATTACTTACATCTGAACCCAGGCCATAGGAGAATATGAAGTTTCACTTGTGGCATGGTTGAGGCAAACATGTTCCAGAAGTGGATGGCTGTGGGTCATTGGGGTTTTCACCAATATTTCCAGCATCCTCAGCGTCACTTTCAGTCACTATATTTGTTAGAGCTGGTCATTGGGGAATAAAACTGTCATTTCACCTGAGAGTGAGGCCTTTGCATCTGCACATCTTCATATACTGTATATAAACTTAATTTAATTTTTGTTTTATGCATTAGCATCCTTAAAATTATTGTATTAAGAACCATTCAGGAGCATGAAGACAGGTGGATAAGCAGATGTATGCACCTGTACATTGGATAATTGAAACTTGCAAACTAATAGGGAAGACTGCACATTATTCCTTAATCAGAGCTTTTAATTACCTTGTAGATCCAGGTGCTTTGTAAATTTTACATCCTTCATTTCCATCACTATTCTTAATTCATTATTTGATTTTTTCTTCAGAATCTGTCAACAGTTTGTTGAAGGCAATTGAAATTTACACAGACATGGGGAAATTTACAATGGCTGCCAAGCACCATCAGTCTATTGCAGAGATTTATGAAACTGAAGTAAGTTTTGAGTGTCAGTAATACGGTACCTGTTTGTAACTATAGACGCTTGTGATTTCCCTTCATCAGCAACTGATTCATTGTATAATTTTTTTAAATTTCCTGTAGGTGTGGCCAATGCAATCTTTTTGTCAATCCATTATAAAAAAATACTTGTAGTAGTGAGTGATTTTGAAATGGCAGATCCTTATTTAGTGTTTTCCATTTTAAAGCCATGATATAATTTGACCCATAGTTTTGTTAAAAAAAAAAAAAAAAAAAAAAAAAAAAAAAAAAGTGTATCTTTGTGTCTTTATATCTGTCTGTCTGTCTTTGTCTGTCTGTCTTTCTACAAATCGGCCGTTTCCTACCAAGAAAGTGACCCAAAAATAAAGAAAGAAAAAAAAAGAAAAAGAAAAAACTTTCATCATTCAACACTTTCACCATCACTCATACATAATCACTGTCTTTGCAGAGGTGCTCAGATACAACAGTTTAGAAGTCCCTCCAAACTGCCAGTAACCCAGACCCCTCCTTTAAAGTGCAGGCATTGTACTTCCCATTTCCAGGACTCAAGTCTGGCTAACCAGTTTCCCTGAATCCCTTCACAAAATATTACCCTGCTCACACTCCAACAGCTCGTCAAGTCCCAAAAACCATTCGTCTCCACTCCTATCTAACACGCTCATGCATGCTTGCTGGAAGTCCAAGCCCCTCACCCACGAAACCTCCTTTACCCCCTCCCTCCAAACTTTTTGAGGACAACACCTACCCCGCCTTCCTTCGCCTACAGAATTATACGCTCTCAAAGTCATTCTACTTTGTTCCATTCTCTAAATGACCAAACCACCTCAATAATCCCTCTTCACCCTTCTGACTAATACTTTTAGTAACTCCACACCACCACCTAATTTCCACACTCCAAATTCTCTGCATAACATTTACACCACACATTGCCCTTAGACAGGACATCTCCACTGCCTCCAGCTGCCTCCTTGCTGCAGCATTTACAACCCAAGCTTCATACCCATGTAAGAGTGTTGATACCACTGTACTTTTGTACATTCCCTTCTTTGCCTCCATGGATAATGTTTTTTGTCTCCACAGATACTTCAACATACCACTTACCTTTTTTCCTTATCAATTCTATGGTTAACCTCATCCTTCATAAATCCATCTGCTAGCAAGTCAACTCCCAAGTATTTGAAAACATTCACTTCTTCCATACTCCCCCTCTGCAGTGTGATATCCAATTTTTCTTTATCTAAATCGTTTGATACCCTCATCCTCATATCTATGTTCACTTTCAACTTTCTACCTTTACACACCCTCCCAAACTTGTCCACTAACCTTTTCAACTTTTCTTTAGAATTTCCCAGACACAGTATCAACAACAAAATGTAACTATCAACTCCCATTTTGTATTTGATTCCCCATAATTTAACCCTTTCAGGGTCGAGAGGCCCTCTCCTAAACTTGTTCTCAGGGTCGAAAATTTTTCGAGGAAAAAAAAAATTTCTTACGAAAAGATAGAGAATCTTTTTCCGATCATAATGACACCGAAAGTATGAAATTTGATGGAAAACTTATTGAATTATGCTGTCGTGAAGTTAGCAGTCTCGACAATGTTGATGCATTGGTGATTTCGCCCACTTTGAGCCCTATTTTCGGCCAATTCCAGTGTACTAGTTGACAAAAATCATAACTATTTCGCTAGAATTCCATTTTTTCTATCGAATGAATACAAGAAACCACCCATTTACCGATTTTAACTATCCAATAAAGTGGTCAGAAATTAGCAATTTTGCCCATTTCACACACATTTCAAAAGATGCCAATTTCCAAATAGGGTCCAGAATAAACAAGACAGACATTCCTGGCACTAAAATAACATTTCCTCTGTTCATTAGTCACGTCCCCATGCCCCTCTTACATTTCTTTTGCTTTCCACTCTGAATTTTTATTCTCGCAAAAAATAGAAGATTTACTGTTATGCCGACTACTGCATAAATGTAGAAATGGTGTAAATAATATCAGCGTACTTGTGAAATAATATTAGACTCGCCAGTTGATGTGCATTGGATGAGTGGCATGATTTGTTTACTTTTGAACTTTGGCAAAAATCAAACATTTCTGCTACTTAGAGCTCAATTTCAAGGTACTTTTCATTGTGAAACCAATCAAAATCATTTCAATTTCTGTAATATGTCTTCCATTGTATAAAAAGAGACCAGGAAAACTAGAATACAACCATAAATACCACACGAAAATACAGTACAAAGTCGCTATTTTAAACCAAAAACACGGTCAAAACTTTTTTTTCCTCATTACACAGTGTGCTGCAGGATTTTTTTTATGCTGGGCACACTGACCACATAGACACATTCTTTCATATGTAGGCCTACCAGCTTTCTCTCACTAGATTTGAAGGCGCTAGAGTTTACGTGTGCTAGTTGGTCAATGCCCCTGGTTCGTAAGCCGTACTAGTATGTCGGAAATCCTGAAAGGGTTAATCCCACCTCTCTCCCCCAACACCCTAGCATTTACTTCTTTTACAACCCCATCTATAAATATATTAAAAAACCATGGTGACATTACACATCCCTGTCTAAGACCAGTTTATGATCTCTTCTGTAAGTTTTGTTTTGTTTGACTACTTGCATAGCTCTCCTCTATCTTGGATTGAGTCTGTCTTCCCTTATCTGGTCTTTACTTTTCACTTTTTTTGTATCACTAAATTCTGTCTGTACTACCCCTCCTTATTTCCCTGCCATTTATCTTTGTTAATTTATTTATTTTTTATGACTTGCTTAATCTCCTTTCTTCACAGATTTTCTCAGTTTCTATTTTTATATTTTCTACAGTTTCTATTTCTTTGTTAGGTCTATATTTATTTACTGTTTATTTTGATGTTCCTCTAGTTTCAACTTTTTTTTTTTTTTGCCAGATACTGATTTCTGTTAAAGCCTAAGAATTATTAGATTATTTATTTTAGTTAGATTTTTATGCCATGGAATAATTAAGAGTTGTTTTTACTCAGATTAACAACCTGGAGTGTTATTAACCCAGGTTAACCAATGCAACCATGTCATCGGACATTGTGGCTTATTTTCATTGAGCTCTTTTTATCCTCTCCCCCAGAATACTTTCCAAAACAGTTGGCTAATACTCAGATACCTACTTATTACGGGGCAGCGGATGCAAGGAAACATGCCAAACATTTCCACTCGAATGGGGGATCGAACTTTGGCTCTTCACTGTGTGAGCCAAGGCCACTCCCATTTGAGCCATGAGCTACATAGCTTTGTCAGTTTTTTGCTTTAAACCTTAAACTGTGCATGAGCCATGAGTTGCTGTAAGCAATACTGCAATATCATACATCTTGAGAGGAGCTGATTTCCTTTCTGTTTATTACAATATACAATACACTACTGTATAAACATTTAAAAATACACCAGAAATGTTATAAATGGTGCAAAGGTAATTAAAACAATATCAAAGATGGATGACACACTCACTTAGCAAAGAATTCATTTACCGACGTGGTCTTAGGGACGGAACTCCGTCGTTAAGTCAGGAGAGGCTGTATTTATACCTGTACCTGTATACATTGCTCCCAGTTTGCAGGCAAGACATATGTCATGCTCAGTTTAAGGGTCAAGAAGTGTAGGCTGCTCAATGAAGCTGCTCTTAATTGCTGTTACAATTCTTAATGTTTCATAGGATGGCAAGCAGAGATCGGTATGAAGAATTAGACACGTGCAGCCACTGGGTATCTTCATTATGTAGATGTTTCACCAACCAGTGGCTTTATCAGTGCAATACAAAGAAAAAACAAGAATGAAGAGGTGGAAGATGAGGTTATCATCCCTCAACCTAGCAGCAGGTGTTCAGTGCTACAATCTTGAATCTGAAGCACAGGCAGGAAGAAGTTGTCTTATGTACTGGAGTCAGATGAGGTGCAGCAGATGAAGGGAGTGTCACTGGTAGGTGGAATTCCCTAGTGGAAGTAGGTCATGCCCAGTAGGTGAGCCAGATGTAGTAAGTAGTTGTGGAGATGTCCTCTGTACCAAGATTCCATGGCATTACTGTGACAAGCATCATAACATCAGTGGTATATAATACCAACAAACTGAAAAATTAGACACTGGCAACAATTGGGTATCTTAAATATATAGACATTTTGCCAACCAGTAGCTTAATCAGTACAATACAGGAACAAAACAGAAGACTGAAGAGGTAGAAAATAAAGTAAGTAATCAAACCCTCAACCTAGCAGCAAGTGTTCAATACTGCAATTTTGATACTTGTCAGACAGCAACACCATGGAATCTTGGTACAGAGGATATCTCTACTACTACTGGTACTTACTATCACTGGCTCAGCTCTTGAGCAAGACCTACTTCCACTAGGAAATCTGGCCTACCAGTGACACTCTTCATCTGCAACACTTAATCTGATTCCAGTATACAAGCCCACTTCTTCCTGCCTGTGCTTCAGATTCATCAAGACTATGGCACTGTTTACCTGCTGCTAGGTTGAGAGACTGATTACCTCATTTTCTGCCTCTTCAGTCTTCAGTTTTTGTCCCTGTATTGTATTGAATGTCACTGGTTGTTAAACTATCTACATTATAAATATACCCAGCTGTTGCACATATGTCTAATTATTCATCCTGTTGATACTAGTACAGTACATAATACATGCTACATTAGAGAGAATAGACATGAAAGTATCACATTATTTTTTTATTTTCAACAAACCAGCCGTATCCCACCAAGGCAGGATGACCTAAAAAGAAAAACGAAAGTTTTTCTTTTTAAATTTAGTAATTTATATAGGAGAAAAGGTTACTAGCCCCTTGCTCACAACATTTTAGTTGCCTCTTATGACACACATGGCTTACAGAGGAAGAATTCTTCCCTACTTTCCCATGGAGATGAGAGGAAATAAAGAAGAACTATTAAGTAAATAGAAGAAAACCCAGATGGCTATATATATATATATATATTATGTATATC